CTGGTTATAACGAACTCATTTATTATCATTATAGGACAGGGTGAAACCTGTGTTGATTTTATTATCGTGTTGATACGAAAAGGGTGAAATTCGCGCTTTTTTAGGATGCAGATCTACAATTTTAATTAGGGTTAGACACTAATACGTAACATAACCACGGTTTCATCTTGTCGTATTATATTACTTTATTAATAAAATTTAAAATTATATTAAGTTTTTCTAATTTTCTATTGGTCAAATATGTTACACGGCAGCTATAAATTGATGCCTATATATAAAATTTGTTGGCTTTCGTGGTATTATAGATTTGAATATGCTTGACTGTCATTCTCGCTATTCTTAATATATGGCTGTCAAAAATAAATCCGGATCTTTAAATTCAAATCCGACGAGCCCAATAACAGGAACAACTGTTTTACCTATTGCTCGTGTGAAACGTATTATTAAAGAAGATGACGAAATAACGATGTGCGCTGCTGACGCGACATTCGTAATTGCCGTCGCAGCGGTAAACATTAGCTTTTAAAAAGTTCAGCTTTGGCAACGATTCCCGCCTTATTAATAAAACATTTTACCTTGTAACAGGAGCTTTTTATAGGACACTTTGTGAAACAAGGTTTAGAACGAGCAAATGCTGAAAAAAGAAAAAACGTTCTATACCAAGATTTGGGTTAGAATTACACAAAACAACTATCATTTGTTTTATTTTTCTTTTAATTTAAAAAAAATTAACGTCAGTGCTTTTCAACTCTCAAACAAATATTGTTGTTGCAGCTAACGCAGTAAAGGATAACGAACATTTGATGTTTTTGCAGAGTAAATATATATAATTAAGGATATTTATTTTTAAACATTGTTGCTAAAAGACTTCAAATTGTCTAGATGTTGTTCCGCAGACTTGTAAATTCGAAAAGGCCTTAAAAACATATAATGATGCAATGAAACAACACGACGTTACCAGGACATTTGACGAAACAAATAGTGATGACAGTAGTGAAGAATCAAGCGACGATAATTGCGATGAAAATGATGCTGATGCCGGTCACCAAAATAATGAAGAGGATCAAAGCAATGACGAGTTCGATATGATTTCTGAAAGTGGCCAAGATATGAGTGAAAGTAATACCGATGATCTTGACTCAATAGAAGAAAATGGAGTTAAAAGTGATGATAGTGAAAATGTTGATAGCAATTCCCCAATTCATAACGGCAATAACAACGAAGGAAACGGGATTTCAGACAGCGAACTCAGTGATGCTCCAACTTCAAGCAACGAAAATAGTTCAGGACAGCTTTAAATGAAAGTGTTCACATATGTGATCACGTATAGACAATAAAATGTGATTAATTTTTTGTCAATTTTACGTAATTTATGTGACATTTATGTGAGCATTTTAAGCGAATAATAAATACATATGTATATAATTGTTAGAATCATCACAATTATCATTTGTATATTATATAATATGTAATTAAATAGATTATTTTTAGCGATATGATTTTTTTGCCGTTTGAATTTTAACAATGGAACAAGCGAAATTTATAGATAGAAAGTGGAAATTCTAATAACTACAATGATGATTTCTACGAATCAAATAACGAGATGTTTTGTATCGCTTGCAAACTAGTGTTACAAATAGAAAGTTGATTAGTTGATGAGTTGGCAACTAATCGACTGAGCTTTTTTTAGACACGAACTGGACAAATATTAGCTAATTATAGCCCCCCTGTGATTTTTAATTTGACCTCCCAGGTTCAGTTATTTGACTAATATAAATTATTATATGTGATAAAATTGAATTTAGCACATGACAAAATCGAATTTATCACTTTGTACAACAATTGATATAACAAAATCGAATTTATCACGGGATAAATTCGATTTTGTCATATCAATTGTTGTACAAAGTGATAAATTCGATTTTGTCATGTGCTAAATTCAATTTATCACATATAATAATTTATATTAATCAAATAACTGACCCTGGGAGTCAAATTAAAAATCACGGGGGGCTATAATTAGCTAATATTTGTCAGCGGGCAGATTCATATATTGATCTACATATTGGCAAGCATTATGGCAGGCACTGCTAGCATTATGCCAGGCACAATTGGTCACTATTCCAGGCACCGTTGGCACTATGCTGAGCAAAAAATAACAGTGCCCAAGTACTGGATACTTTTGTTTATATTGCACCTTTCCTGACAATGTCATAATGTTTTAGTACATGCCAATCTATCCCGTGTGTTATAAAAACACATTCATATGATTTGCTACTTTACATCGATCTGAGAACTTACAATTAAATAACTTTAATACAGGAGTGTAAATTATTATTAGCGGCACTTAATTTTAATTATTACATCGGGAAATTTTTAATTCGGTTGGTAATCGATTTACACCTAGAAATGGTAATCGATAAGCAACACCCCCTGTCGATTACCAGCGATATAGTTAACAATCGATTAACAAGTTTATCGATTACTAGCGATATAAGTAACGATCGATTCGTTAGAATTTATATCTAACAAGTGAAGTTCGACCTGAATTACTTTATAGCTTTATAGAAAATTGATCCGGCGGGACATTATTGCGGGTCCCAGGTGACAGCAGGGAGATACTTATCGCATGATAATTAGACATAGAGAACCACTTGCAAATTTAAATGAATCATTAAAAATTGAACCAAATAATGTATTTACATTAAGAATTCGTGGAGATACTCATCGTATGATGAAAGGATATGAAGAATCACTCGTGGATTTGAAAAAATCATTAGAAATTGAACCAAATAATGCGGAAGCATTAAGAATCCGTGAAGATACTTATTGCATGATGAAATAATATGAAGAATCACTCGAATAAATCATTAGACATTGAACCAAATAATGCAGAAACACTAAGGATTCATGGGAAATCACAGATATGAAGAATCACTCGCAGATTTATGTATTCATTAGAAATTGAATCAAGCAATGCATTTGCATTAAGAAGTCGTGGAGGAACTTATCGCATGATGAATAGATATGAGGAATCACTTGCAAAATTGAATCAACCGTTAGAAATTATTGCGGTTTGCAAAATTATGTGAATTTTGAAGATAAATAAAAAAAAAGTAATCATGATTTCTGATTACTGATTTCCGATTTCTTCAACATTTTTTTGACTTTTAGATTAGACAAA